TTGTTTAACTTTGTAGTTTCCGGTTTTGTAATGCCCTCACTCGTGCTCGTATTCCGCACCTCCAAATTGGTTGCCGCACCATTTCCAACAATGTCAGGGTCATTTTTCCTAGCGCTTATTGCTTCTAATGTTTTATCGTTACTATTATCACTGGCAATTTCGCTAGTCCTAATGACTCCCGCCTGTGTTTTTGTGGTCAAGATCGTGAGTATTATTATTTGACTTATTAAAATAGTAGTGACAATTTTTGAAAACGTGCCAAAATGCATAAATTGTGGCATATTTAATAACGAATCGCTTATTGCGTCGATAATCTCAGCAACATTAAAGGCAATTGGAATGTTGTAAATTTCGGCGTGACAATGGTGGGAAATTCGGGGTTTTTACTTAACTGTAATTTTGTAGTTGTTTATTTTTGTTATTATTTTTCTATTATTTACTTAAATTTTTATGTTGCGTTACCGTCACTTCAGTTTCAGTGTCTATTCAAGTTTTTGTTCAGTTTTAGTTTTGTACTTTGATGCACCTTTGCGTATGTGTACTCTTTTGGAATATTTTTAAATTCCATGTACCCATTTTGGATGCGACTTTTCGACTTTTCGACTTTTCTGTTTTATGCTGACGACTTATTTGTGCCGTGATTTTTAATTATCAACAATTTGTGGATTCATACATTAGAAACTGTAAATAAATGAGACAATTTCATCAATTATTAGAAATGTTAGCTAATTTTGTATATTAGTAAATAATTTTACAATTAATAATAATATTAAATTAATATTAATGTTATTATTATTTTACAGCATTGAGTTAAGTTTGTCACAGAAATCTTTAAGAATTAAGTCTATATCTAAGCTTAAGAATATTTTAATTTCTGCTATATTAGTGGAGTCAGTGAAGATATCATTGACTGTAGGTCCAAATAAAAAAAAAAGGTATTTTAATTAATATTATTTTTTGAAATTTCTGGCTTACGAATTATAATTCAAAAATCGACCATATAAAAGGGTTTTAAAATCGGTTTGAGCCTACATAATTTATTGTCTAGTCATGGTGTTGATCATGTGTTTCTCGATTCTCTCGATTCAATGATGGGATTCGAGTTCATATGAAATAATGTTTATTAAAACTATATTATCAACGAAAAAAAAGGAGAC